AGGCAACATTCTGTAAGTGCCGTCAAGTGGCCCATGGTCGCCATGATGGAGATGCGGCCGTGCTTCAGCTCCACGGATCGACGGCGCTTGAATGAGGCAACATCGCCATCGGAGGTGAAGCCGACGGGATCCCAGAACCCCACGGGGTCCTGCACGCCGAGCTCGCTTTCGAAAGCCTGTGGAGCTGGAGTGTAGCACATGAGGTCTATCAACAGATGCCATAGTTGTAGTATGCGTTCATCTTCAGTATGTACCTCGCTTGAGAATCCGTTCGTAGGTTGTGTTGGTCGTTGCAAAGGAAATGGGGTTCAGGTTCGGTGGTGCTGGTTTTGGTGGTGGTGGTGGTGGACGTGGTGACGCTGGCGCTGGGGTGGGCTTGGCGATGTCGCTGGCGGTGGTACTGGTGCTGCACATGGTGCTGCTGGTGCTGGTGGTGCCGGTGCCGGTGCCGGTGCTGGCGCTGGCGCTGGCGCTGGTGCTGCACATGGTGCTGGTGCTGGCGGTGGCTCTGGTAATGAATTCGTTCGGAGCCTTGTCACGGCGCTTGCCCCAATCCAGCCCCCGACCCGACCCCAACCACCACACAGCACGGAACAACTGATTGGACCATCCACCATGGCACAACAGCACGTGCTGGGGGCAATTCCGAAAAACTCACCCTTTCTCGCCCGGCTGCACATCTACCCGCCATGAAAGATTTCGATATTGTGTAGCATATCGCACGACCTGGCTTGCTGATGTTACGAATACGCTGGCTTGTACGATGCTTGCTGGGCTTGCTGCCAGTAAAATACATAATTTGGGGGGTGGTGAGTGAAACCCCTTCCGTGTTGATACGCAAGCGGACTCTTTGGCGAACACACAGGCTGGATATATGTTGGCATTGGTCTTGGGCATGAAAGAAGGCGGCTGCTGGAGCTTCCTCCTCCCACTGGCAAACTCATCTTCACCATTGTTGACGCCAACTACAGCTTGCTATCAGCAGGTGCAGGGGCCTAGGTCGGGACATAAGCCTAACAAACCCTAACAAAACAAAAACTTGCATCACTCATCGCCCTGAACGAGATCACAGGTTCAAGTCAACAGATAAGATGGCCGGGGTGGGACCTGGGCCTAACAAGCCAAAACAAACCCAAAACATCGGAGCAGCTCGCACCGCCGTCATGCATTCCATGCTTTCAACTGTTCTTTTCTTTCCGCTTATTTGATTGGTGCCGTTTACACCCCAACAATCCACCCATCCACTACGCCCCGGAACTAATGTTGAGAAAATGTTTTGGCTCCTAATGGCAAAGTAAACCCCAAGGGAATTCCAGCCTCTAAACCCTTAGGCACCCCAAGTCCTAAACCCATCAACTAGTAGACCCTTCAATGCCTCGCAGGCGATTGTCGTGCTGCAATCGGTCGTACTCTCCCATAGCCCGTCGTGGACATCCCTAGCTTTGAGTCCATGGATCATCTCTTCTCGGCCCGGTTGACTCGACGGTAAGGGCCACGCCACCCCCAAAGCCTTAGCCACTTCCTCCAGCCACACTTCCTCCGCCCCAGTTTCCACCATCAAAGTGGGGAGGCTCGGTCCCCGAGAGCCTGCCACGCGTCCTCCAAGCGTTAGCTTTGCATGGTGAACACGCGGCCCTGGGCATACAAGCGATCCACTCGGTCTTCTGTCCAGCGGACCTTGCCGGTCAGCCACTCCACACCATGCTCCGGTGCCGCAACCCTGGCCTCCATCCCTCCTGCCGGGGCCCCCCTGCGTTGTACTCGAGACCAGGCCTAAACCGAAAACTCAGCAGCATGATAAACATCCATCGTACCACCAACCTCTCCCAGCTTCACCCGTGTAGGGCGCTTCCAGGCTTGACCCTGGGCACGGCTCACCGGCGTATAGCCGGGCCGGAGACTGGCAACTTGGCCGTCTGGTGGAATCTCGCGTGCGCGCGTGTATGTGCGAGCTAAACTCCCACCTAGTCCTCCCCACCAGAGCCCCCGGCCCCAGTCCGACCTGCTGAAACCCGGCAACTCCGCTCGTGAGATCTAACGCTATCCCAACTCGCGTACACTCTGCCACAAGTGGCCGGACGACGAACCCCCAGGGACTTGGTGCCACGAGCCAGGCCAAGGTTGGAGTTCTTCGCCTCCTTGAAGCACCGAGCTGCGTAGGTCGCCCAAGTCTCTTCTTGTTCATGCCATGCGACCCAATCGATGGCAAGATCCGGAATGCCATGCTCATGGAGATCATGCGGCAGGGAGAGCGGTTGCAAAAACCATCGCCCACCATGATGTGCAGAGCCGCTCTTAGAGAGCGCCGCAGCCGCCACAGAAGAAGCCAAACGCACGAGGCCTTGGATGCACGCAGCATGTCCCCCTGGCCCTTTCTGAAGCTCCCAGCCCCAACTGTTTTGAACACGGCCAAAGGCCTCAGCAGCCCACTTCCGAAAGGTGGGGCCCGGCGAGGCAGTGGCAGCATCCCACATCTTGTCGGCATCAAAATACACCCAATCAGCATGGACACGCAGCACACAAGTGGAGGTGAGGCTGGCAGGGGCTTGCAAAGTAACCGCCGAACGGGCTAGTTCAGGAGCAGTGCTGCTCGAAAGCCCGACCCAAGCATTCACAACACGAAGGTGGTTTTTGCAGATGCCCGGCACACGAGCCTCGCGCCAATCCAGCTCGCAAAAGTCAACACGCTGATCCTCAAAGTGGCCCTTAAGCAAGACAACAGTCATGTGACGCTCACACGATGCCGATTGCACAAAGGTGCGCAGCTGCTCAAACTCAGCCGCAACCGTAGGGTACGCAAGCAGTGCCAAGTCCGGCGACTCAAGCGCCTCCCTGGCTGTCTTCACAAACTTGACGTCACTTCCCCAGTCCTCAGGGCTAGGCTGCCAATCAGTGGGCCGAATGGAGCCAGCAGCAGGATTCGCCTGTGCTTTTTTGCCTCGAGCCGTGGCCTTGCCTGCACCTTTGCCTTTGCCTGTGCCCTCGTGGGTCGTATGCTCATGCCGAGCGGGCCGCACGTGAACAGCACGAGCAACCTGAGTTGAAGAATCATGCCATGCAGCGAGGTAGCAGGACGTGCATCATGGGCCGTGCCTTTTTTGCGACGCCGCCCTGAAGCAACTCGCCACTCACCCTCATCCACAGAAGCATTGTTAGCTGCATCACCAGACCACCAAGAGTCCTGAGCAGCCGAAGGCGAAACACGATAATCATAGTCCTCCTCAGGGCCCGTGGCCGGCCAGGAAGACCAATCATCCCAGTTTTGCGTCCGCGCTGGTGCCAACGAGTAGCCCTAGGAGGATCTTGCCAGCGAGGTGGGTCTTGCCGATGAAGAGGAACCGTCCCAGTCGCAGCACCAGTCCATTCCTGCACGAGGCGCTGCAATGCTGCAAAGGGTCCTTGGGCCTATCAATGATGGGCTGCTCCAGCTGGCCAAACAATAAATCGGCGCTGCCATCGTAGTTCTCATCAGTTTCTTCTTCACTCCACGACTCACGGAGTCCATGGAGGCCTTCGAGGAGGCGCTCCCTCCTGCGCCGCCTGGTGGCATTGGAGCCCCCAGCGCCACCACGTAAAGGATCGACCTCGGCGAGAGCATGTAGTCGATCACGAAGCTGCCCAGGCAAAATGCACCGGGCCTCCACAGCCGAAAGGCTCTGAGCCGCACCAACCATTTCATCGGCGCACTGCTCAGACGAATCGCATCCCACAAGGGAAAAACTGTTCACAGCGACGTTGGCGCTGCTACAAGTAGCCAAACCAACACCGGCTCCAGGAACATCAGCCAAAGCGCCGCCGGCCCCCGAAACCTCCTCCAAATCCCCAAAATTTTTCTCGGCAGCTTCCCCGGTCCCATGGGCAAAAGCCTTAGCCGAGCCACCAGATTGAGCTCTGAGTCCACGAAAAGCAACAGGAGGAAGAGGTAACACCACACTCCATCTTCGAAATCCCCTGCCACGAAGAGCACAAAGCTGGGCAGCACCACGGAACATGAGTGGATGCCGCCGCTTAGAAAACAGTCGCTGCATGCCAGCTCGTCGAGCAGACCATGCAACAGTGCAAAAAGCCCTGGCCGCCTTAAACAGCGGCTCTTGTCGAAAAGGAGAAGAAAGTTTCCGCTTCCTGCGCTTCCGTCTCCATCTCCGCCGAAACCAGCTCTTGCAAGTAAAGAGTGGCCTAGAGGCTCCCACAGCCCAAGCGCCACATGTGGAGCTCGGACCCTCCCATAGAGGGCCACTGCACAACCACAATAAGATGAGGCCCTCCCTCACTAGGGCCAAGGCGTAGAAAATCGAAGTGATGCAGGTTCCCACAGCCCACACCAGATTGAAACAGAAAAGAAAAGTCGCCAAGCTCCCACGGCATTGACGATCCGAATTGCTGATGCTGCCCATCTTGCGAAGAAAAGAGGAAACACGGCAGCACTGTGATGTGATCTGCTCGTACCCGGATGCCTCATCCGGGCCCGTGCGCACCTCGTGGAGGTCGATCACCCGCGCACGTTGTTTGAACTTGAAGTGTGCGTCGTGTCGGCACTGTGTGGCCCCCAACTGTCGTGTGTTCCACGTGCTAAATCTGACCAGTCGACGACGCTTCATCTTGGCGAAAGAAAGGGTGGGAAACCTTTCCCATGCCATGCGCTTCCGCCATCTTCCGCCTTCTGCTCCAAACCGTCTTCTTCGAGCATGGACTGTGCCATCCCCCTAGGTTGATCCGGGATTGTGTGATGTCGTATTAAAATCTGATCTCTCGAACGAACGATAGTGTGGGTGTGAGTGTGGGTGTGTGTATGGGGAGGGCAGTGAGTGGTTGTAGGTGTGCGAAGGCATCCGCCTCTATGTAAGCCTGTGTCTCCGGGTGTGTCAGAGTACGTATCGCCCTACGTGTTCGTGTGACGGTCGAGTTCGGTCTTTGCTAGAGCCGAAACGATTTGAGCCAAAAACGCCGACGGAACAAAACGAAGGATGTTACTTAACACAAAAAATGCTCAAAGACTCGACCACACGGCAACCCGCTCTCAGACAAAGGCATGCAAGGCATGGAGTTCAGACCCGATCGTCTCATATCTCACGGGCCTTCCAGAAGGAGCTAGGGTTGCCGGCCCAGTAGCCCCAAGGGGAGCCGGTGAGTCCGTCCTGGAAGAAGAGGCCAATAATGCCCATCATGGCCAGGCGGCCGTTGGCAATCTCGGAGTTCAACTTCTTCTTCTTGATCTCCGGGTCATCGGAGGTGATCACCTTCCAGCCGAAGTCGCCATCATAGGCAGGAGTGCCCGGGATCTGCTTCTGGGAGATCTCGCAGAAGGCCATGTACGCCAAGATCTGCGCCCAGCCCGCCACGGGCACCTTTCCGATGGCCGCAAGGCCGTTCGGGATGTCTGCGAACTTCAAGTCCATGGATGGCGACAAGTATCCTGGGAACTTGCCGGTGATCCTTGGAAGTCCACACACAATCACTTCCGACAAGTGAGAAGGCATATCGTGAAGCTACGGCTATCCAAAGACTGTCTCAAAAGCCTCTCACGAAGCTTGCAAAGACCAAGCACTCTCTCGGACAATGTCGCACACATCGGTTCGCATGTCTCTATGACGGTACAAGTACTTGCCCCCACTGCGGCCGGAGTTGCTCTGGAGTCATGAAGCCCATGGTTGCAAGCATGGCCTGAGCTCTGCAACTGCACTAGAAGCAGATGCCTTGCCTCATCCGAACCGCACCGAACC